TGCGCGAGGGTGGTGTCTCAAAATGACTTCCTGCTTTCCCGGCGTCTTCTGCGTTCGCATCCGCTTGCTCGGGGGCACTTTGATGCACAGCTTGACTCTCGGCAGGCGTCGTTGCGCACCCCAGTGGAGTTCTCGGTCATCTCTAGCGCGCTGCACTACGAAGCGGGGGCCCACTTCCGAGCTGAGGTTCGCCAGCGAGCCGATCGGGAGACTGACTCTCACCGGCGGGGCCGTCTCAGGAAACAGCAAAAGCGTCTCGCGAAGGTGCAGCTTTGGTCCCCCTTCGACAAAAGGATGCATATTGCAGGCATTAGGTTGGACAACGGCACCACTCTGTCCGCGCCGAATAGCACATTGCACCAGTTAGGCGAGCATGGGACACGTGTCTTTACTGCGAAGCCGTGCGTGGGCGACGCAGCGAGTGCTCTGCTGAGTCAGCGTGCGCCGAAGATGCCGCGCGCCGATTCTCCGCCCCCACGCAGCCACCTGGATCGCGTCCGTCCTTCGGCCCCTAGCCCTGACAATCTGCCGTGCGAAGCCTGGAAGCACGCCCCCATGGGAATCGAAGTTTTGATTGACAGCACGAGGTGGACGCTTGAGGGCTATGCTCTCGGCGGCGACATGAACTGCGTCCTGGGAGCTTTTGCCCCGAAAGGTTCTGAACAGGATGACGGTGACGGTGCTCTGCGCCACAATTCTAACACTCGCCCTTTATGCTTCGAAAATGCCGACAACAAGTTGATAACTGCTGCCTGCGGCTATGCGCTCAGCCGCGCTGCTCCTCAGGGGCCCGACGGGGCCCAGGGAGGCAACGTCGTGGGGGGGAATTTCGGAGGCACGATTACTCGCGCAAGCTCGCGTCTATAGCATGGGCGACCCTTCTCTTCTCCCGATATTGGTCGGGTGCGACTTTGGCCGGGCGTTTCCATCGGTCAGCCAGCAGTGGATGGCGGCGGTAGTCGACTCCCTGCCGATTCCTTCTGCACTGAAGGACTTGGTCACCTCGCCGTGCGAGAATGTGGTATGCTGGGGGGAAATGAGACACCGCATGGGAATTCTGTTTGATATTACCAGTGATATTATCCAAGGACGTCCGGCCTCGGGGGCTTTGTCCGCGTTTTCCATGGACCCTTTCCACCGGCGGCTTAGGGCTGCGATCGACCAGCCCGATCGCGGCATCACTCGCGCGTGCGCGGACGATGTTGGCATGGCCCTTCGTCGCTCGATACACTTGCTGCACGCGCTTAGGGTCTTCGAGGAAGCCAAGCGCATAGCGAACCTGCACCCGGAGAATATCAAATGCATTATTGTATGCTTGTGGCCCATTGACGGCTCGGTTGAAACCCCGCATCAAAGCTCGGCTTCTGGAACAGATCCCTGCGTGGGCGGATTTTGCGACTGATGATGAGCTAGGCTACCTCGGCATGCTCCTGGGCCCCGCGGTGATCCCAGAGGGCCCCTGGATCAAGCCCGCCGATAAGTACATCCCGCGTTCATGTGCACCTGGTGCCCAGGGTAGCTCCTCAGAGGTCTCTGCGTGTTTGTACAGATCTCGAGCTCTATCTGTTTTGTCTCGCGTGGCCCAGTGCGCCCCTCCCCCCGCTCGTCTTCGCCGCGATAAATATTGCATCTTCCTTCGGCTACTCCATGTGCAGTATCGGGCTATAACGAATGCGGACTGGCACAACCTAGTACTATGGGGTGGTCCTAAAGTGGGGAGTGGCCAGGCCATGCGCCATGCAGCTCTTATCCGAGCCTCGCTGTGCACTTTTAAGACACGGCAGCTTGGCGTCGAACGTCCTAAATCTTCTGCCGAGGCCGAGTTGCCGCTTGTTCGCCCCCGTGTCGAGACGCCGTGGCCGGCGCACTGGAAGAGCCCCCCGCTCGCGTTCAACCTCCCTCACTGGACAGCTGCACGGGGGCTGCACGGGCCGTCTCGTGGAACCTCCCGCAGCTCAGCCTGGCGCCGACAAGCGCCGACAGCCGGACGGCCTCTCGGCTCGCCGACGCGCTCGCGCGCCCCCTGGCCAAGGAGCACAGAGCCAGGCATTTGGCAGGCGGCAGGTTAAACTGGCCGACGACGCAGAGGCACAACCCCAGACATCCAACGCATCGAAAAAATCAAGATGTAGGTTTTCCGCAAGGTTCGGCCCCTAGGCGCCCTCGCCGGGCCTCGGAACCGTAAAAAAACGATTCAGGATGAAAGGCCATTCCTGGGGATGGGTCGAGACATCCGAGAGCCCCGAGCAAAAGTCACGACATCGGATGTCAGAGACTTCTGGGGCTTCTCTGGGCCGACCTGGGGCCCTCTTGGAATGTTCCAGGTCCGTCTTGGAGGCCATGTTGGGCGTCTCAAAAGGCCTCCTGTGCCGTCTTGGGGGCCTCTTGGGGCCGTCTTGGGGGGTTGTTCGGCCGTTCTGGGGCAATTTTGGAGGCCTCTTGGGCGATCTTAGAGCGATCTTTGGGGGTTCATGGGCCGTTTCGGGCCGTCGGAGGGCCGCAAAGAAGCAAATGTCAAAATCCGTCCAACATCCTATGGAAATCCATGTGTTTGACCTCTTCTGGTCTTCCTGGAGGCCCTAATGGAGGCCTCTTGGGCCGTCTTGGGCTAGCCTAGAGCCAACTTCGGCCATTTGGGTGTGCTCCTCGCCCGTCTGACGCCGTCGGAAGCCGTTTGGGGGGCCTCTTTGTGCCGACTTGGGGCCTTACTGGGGTGTTCCAGGGCCGTCTTGAAGGCCATCTTGGGCGTCTTGGAGGCCTCTTGGCCCATCTTGGGGCCCTCTTGGGGCCGTTTTGGGGGCCTCCTGGGCCGCTTCGGACCATGTTGGAGGCCTCGTGGGCGATTTTGGTGCGATCTTGGGGGCCTCTTGGGCCGTCTTGAGCCATCGGAATGCCGAGAAAAGTAAATGCCAGAATCCTTTAAAACCGAATCAAAACAATGATATTGGCTTTTTCGGGCCCTCCTGGAGGACCTTTTGGAGGCCTTTTGGGTTGTCTTGGGCCGTCTTGGAGGCTTCTCGGGCGACCTTGGAGGTATCTTGGACTCTTTGGGGCTGCGTTGGAGGCCGTCTTGGATCATCTTGGGCGGACTTGGAGGCTATCTTGGACAATCTTGGAGGCCATCTTGGGCCAACGTGGCCATCTTGGAGGCCATGTTGGGCCATCTTGAGCGACAAATTAGGATTTAGCTCCTTGAGAGCCTTTCCGGATGGCCGGCGGGGCGCGCCAGAGCCCCAGGGGGAGTTCTCTTGGAAAAGAACCAAAACCAAAACCGATAGGATCCAGCACGCCAGGCACCCCTGTGATAAATCACAAGGGGGCGGCGGATCGAAGACGCTTACGGCGAATCACCGCCGCCCCCTGCCTTTTTGGAAGCGCCTACGTGGCCGAACGTTGAGGCCTGACCTGCCAAGCTATCGGACCATGCATTCCCCGAATCAGTTTGGAAAGCCTTCGGGGGACGCGTGGGCGTGTTGGGGGTCAGCTTGGCCGTCTGGAGGCCATTTTGATTTTTTTCTGGCTTTATTGGAGAACGTATTCGCGGGCTCGTGGGCCGTCTTGGAGGCCATCTTGAGCGTCTTGGAAACCTCTTGGGCCGTCTTTGGGGCCTCTTGGGGCCGTGTCTTGGGCCTCTTGGGCGATATTTGGGGGCATTTGGGCCGTCTCGGGCCGTCGGAAGGCAGAAAAAAAAAGCAAATGCTACAATCCTTCAAAAACCATTGGAAATCAATGATGTTTGCCTTTTCGGGCCGTCCCGTGGTCATCTTAGGGCCATGTTCGGCCGTCTTGGTGGGCTCCTGGTCCGTCTCACGCCGTCGGAAGCCGTTTTGGGGGGGCCTCTCTGGGCCGACTTGGGTGGGGCCCTCTTGGAGTGCTCCAGGGCTGTTTTGGAGGCCATCTTGGGCGTCTTAAAGACCTCCTGCGCCGTCTTGGGGGCCTCTTGGGGCCGTCTTTGGGCCCTCTTGGGCCGTTCTGGGGCCATTTTGGAGGCCTCTGGGGCGATCTGTTGGCGATCTTTGGGGGCCGTCTCGGGCCGTCGGAGGGCCGAAAAGAAACAAATGTCAAAATCCGTCAAAAACTTTAGGGAAATCCATGTTCATGGTCTCTTCTGGCCTTCCTGGAAGCCCTCTTGGGGGCCTCTTGGGCCGTCTTGGGCCCGGCCATCTTGGTGGGTTCCTGGCACGTCTGACGCCGTCGGGAGCAGTCTTGGGGGCTGTGTGTGTGCGTGGCACGCAATTGCTTGATCCCTTTTCAGATGTTGCAACCCCTTCAGCAGCAGTCCCTTCGCTGCTGCTGGGGCTCAAGCTTTTAGCGGGTATGCTTCCGAAGCAGTACCCGGCCAACTTGCTCGGGGCCGTGCTCACCTTTTGGGCAGGCTTCGCGGCCCGCGGGGGATTCGGCCCCGCGCCCATGGCGGAGGACGCTGTGGGCTGGCAGCGGACCGGGCCGGGCCACGAGCTGGAGGCCAGCTCGACAGCCACCACCACCACATAGCTACCCACGACCTCGACGGTGGTGGACTGCAGCTGCCCGGCGCTTGTGGCGCCAGTGCCGGCCGCGCCGCAGCCGCTGCGGGTGGTCGGAGACGGACTGACGGCCACGGTGGAGGTCCCTCTCGCCGCGCTGGCCGTGGCCGCGGCCGCTGGCGCCTGCGGCGCCGCCTGGAGACAGCGGACGCGGCGCTGCTCGGCGAGGATCGCCCGCGAGCCGATCGGCGAGGCCAGGATCCACGTGGCGCGATGGCGGCGCCGCTGCCAGACGCGGCCCCTGGGTTGCGGATTTTGGTTCAGTACGAGGAAGATGCGGGTTGAACTCACGAGAGGCTGCTGCTGTGGCCGAGTGTTGCCGATGGCTCGGAGTGGATGGTGTACACGGCGGGAAACGACTTGTATTCAGCGAGCGAAGAACGGTATCAGATAATTTGTTTCGCCGTCGGGGGCGCCTGTCCCTGGGCGGCTGGAAAGTCTATACCCCTACGGTTCCACCGTAAGGGTCTTCAGGCTGGCGGAGGCCCAGGCGGATTTCGAGAAGGACCACCTGAAGTTCCACGAGGTGGAGCTGCTGCCTGAGGGGGGCCGCAGCTTCGGCTGCCACGTGGATGGCCGGCGCCGCGCTACTCGGCCGACCGACGAGAGGTTCGCCATGGCGCGGAAGGGCCTCAAGCGCTCGCTGAAGCGTCGGAAGGTCGCAGGCTGGCAGCTGGAGATGGTGCTGGGCCTCATGGCGTTCATGGCCTTGGTTCGTCGCGAGATACTGTCCACCTCTCATACAGTATACTCTTTCGCGGCGCAGAGTTACCGCACCTTCTCTGTGCTGTGGCCGTCTGTGCGATAGGAGCTGACCTGCTACCTCGGTATCATGGTGATGCTGGAGTCGAGCTGGACCCGCGCGTGGGCGCCTGTGGTCTACTCCTCCGACGCGAGCCTCTACGGCGACGGCGTCGCCGAGGCGAGCTTCGATCCAGAAGCTGCGGCAGAGGTCGGGCGCATCTCAGAGCTGTCGCGGCGGCGCCCGGGTGCTGGGCTCGCGAGGCAGCACGCCTTCGAGCGCGCCGGCTTCCTGCTCGACGACGAGACGGGCGAGGTCGTCCGCGATGCCAGCCGGGCGCCGCGCCAGCTGGACGCCGAGCTGCGGCGCGCGCTGGCCAGCGAGCGCTGGGAGGTCGATCGCAGCTTCCCTGAGGTGCCCAGCCAGTTGTTGCATGACTCCCACTGGACCACAGTGATGGCAGACAGGTGGGCTTTTTTTCAGACGATGCCCTTAGATTGGAGGCGCGGGCGCTCGTGAAGGCTGCGTCTCGCGCTGCGCACTGTCAGCCTGTAAAAGAATGCCGCGCTCATCTTTGGGGAGACAACCTCTCCGTCGTGCTGTGTTTCTGCCGGTTCAGGTCCAGGGATTCTCGGCTTTTATATTTCAGGTCCGTCTTTTTGCAGCTTTGTGCCTTGCGAGAGACATGAAGTTCGTGGTTCGTTGGATTCCGAGCGAGCTCAATTCTGGCGATGAGGTAAGTCGGAGATTCGACCACGAATATGATGCCAGCAAGACATGGTTTCGGCGGAGGTTGCGTCTGGCCTAGTTGATGCCCCCTTGGCGAGCGCCGCCCGACCGCGAAGGCTCGCGGTGGCGGGCGCTGAGCAGGAACGCTGCGCCATTGGACTCGCCCGCGACCGAGGTGGGCCGGAGGCGCGCGCGGACGCTGAGCGCGGGGGGCGCTGACTGGAGCCGCTGGGGGGCCCACCCGCCCAGAGGGCGCGCATGCTGGACCCCGGCCGCGGGATCGCTGCGAGGTTGGCGGTGAGACAGCCCGTGCAGGTGCCCCCCCCAGGCGAGCGTGGAGGCCTGCCTGGAGCTGGGCCAGCGCCAGGGCCTTCGACCCCTAGTGGACGCCGCAGCCCGCGCGGGCACCGCGGCCGAGGCCGAGAACGTGAGCGAGGAGAGCAGCGACGCCGAGGAGGCCCCCGCTGCGGGCAGCAGTTCGAGGCGGTTGGAGACGCGGAGGAAGGCCCGCGCCCGCAAGGCGCTCGAGACGCTGGAGACCTCAGCCGAGGCCGAGCGCGACGAGTGTCTGGGGATCTGCTACCTCGAGCGGCAGTCAGTTGGGGCGGCCACGCTCGAGACCTATCGCCAGCGCGCGCTCGCGTTATGCGTCTGGGCCCGCTGCTCGCTGGACGCGCTGCCAGAGCCCGCGGAGCTGGGCGCCCACCTGGCGGGCTACATGAACACGGAGTTTTTGCAGGGGGTGAAGAGCTGGCGGGGCGAGAAGCTCATGGCCGGCTCGATGTTCCCCCACCCGGACTATGGCCGCTTGGGGGGGCTGTATATGCCGCAGGCCCTGCGCTGCCTCAAGGGGTGGGAGAAGTTGTCACCATCTCGCTCTCGGAAGCCCTCGGTGCATTCGATCTGGGGGGGCATGGCAGTGGAGCCATGCCGGTTGGGAGCGCCTCTGGCGGGCGCGATGGCGCTGATCATGGTGGAGTGTTACTTTCGGCCAGGAGAGATGCTGGGTTTGACCAGCAAGTCGTTCTTGGCCCCGAGCGAGCATGCTGTCCAGAGCTGGGTTGTGTGGCTCTTCCCAGAGTCGGGCACGGCCCGGAGCAAGTTGGGGGCGGCCGACGACACGATACCCTACGATTCGGGAAGGCGCCCCCGCATCCTGCGGGCCCTGAAAGACCAGGGCTCGTCAAGGCCCCTCCTGGGCTTGAGCCGCCCGCAGTTCCTGTGCCTCTTCCAGAGAGCGGCTCTGGATATCGGAGCCGATGCCGCCCCCGATCAAGGCCGGCACAGCGGAGCATCGCTGGATCGGGCAACAGGGCGGCGCTCTCTGGAGGAGGTGCAAAAGAGAAGGCGGTGGGCCGCGCTGTCATCGGTGAAGAGATACGAGAAGTTGGGCCGCCTAAGCGAGAGCTGGGAGGCCCTGCCAGAAGAGACGAGGAGTCGCTGCGTGGCGGCCTCACGACTGCTAGAAGATGTGCTGCTACTGGGACGAGCCGCGCCAGTACCGCCTTTCGTGCGCCGCGGGGCCTTACGCGGGCGCCGGCGAACCAGGCTTTACTGTATCAGGCGCGCCCGTTCCTGCTAGGTCTGTTTTTTTCAAGCGGCGGAGGCGTTGGTGGCGCGGCCAGGCGTTTTGGGGTAGGTTCGATATCTTCGGATCTCAAGAAGGGGCCTGACCAAGATGTGTGCAGCTCTCTCAATCTGAAAGTGATTGAGCGACATGTCAAACTTGGTCGGGTCCTTGGCGTGATGCTGGCGCCACCCTGCTCGTCTTTCCCGCTGGCTCGGAACCGATATCATGTGAGGAGCGCCGAGAGACCAGAGGGGCTCGCTGTTTTGCGCGACAACGATCGGGAGGCGGTGAGAGTCGGAAACCTATGTATGCGAGTGGCAGTTGTTGTGATCAGGTTGTGCCGTTTGCATGATGTGCCGTACGCTCTGGAGAACCCTCAGACATCGTATCTGTGGAAGTGCTCAGACATGTCCACTCACGTGATGCCCCACAGCCGATTGCTGGACTTGCATCAGTGCGCGTTTGGATCGAAGTGGCGGAAAGCTACCCGAGTGATTTTCGGTTGTGTGACTGAAGCTGGGGACTTCGCCCTGGCTTACCCTGGACGCCGGATGCGTCTCGGGAAACATGGCTTCTGCAGCTTTCGGCCTGGGCGGAAGCACATCGCTCTCGAGGGGAAGGCTATGACGTCCGCTTCAGCTTCGTACCCACCTCGCCTTGCTGTGTGGCTGTGTAAAGCTCTGCTGAACCTGTCCTGAGCAAAGAGGTTGCACGCTTGGTGATTACGAGTGTCGAGGCCTTCTCCGCCTGAGAATGGTCCTGCCGCTTCGCTGTGAACTTCGACTTTGCGAAAAATGTGGGGTTTGGCCTGTCCGTTGCACGTCCCATAACCACTGGTCGCGACCAACGTGGTATCAGACTTCACCATTGAAAAAGTTATTAAGCATGTGCGCGTGGCACGAAATTGCTGGAGCCCCTTTTTGGATGTTGCAGTCCCTTCAGCAGCAGTCCCTCCGCTGCTGCTGGGGCTCAAGCTTCCCCACCCTCGGCCACCCTGGACCTGACCATACATAGCGCACGTCTGATTTTACTGTTCTAATCTTTTCCACTCCGCTCATGTGGGTTTGGGCCTGTCCGTTGCACGTCCCATAACCACTGGTCGCGACCATCGTGGTATCAGACTTCACCACTGAAAAAAAGTGATTGAGCACCTTATGGGCCGACTTGGGGCCCTGTTGGGGCGCTCCGGGGCCGTCTTGGAGGCCATCTTGGGCGTCTTGTAGGCCATCTTGGGCGTATTGGAAGCCTCTTGGGTCGTCTTGGGGCCATCTTGGGGCCGTCTTGGAGGCCACTTGGGCCGTCATGGGGCCCTCTCGGGGGCCTCTTGGACGATCTTTGGGGCCTCTTGGGCCGTCTTGGGCCATCGGAATGCCGAGAAGAAGTGAATGCCAGAATCCTTCAAAAACCTAAGGGATATCAATGATTTGGGCTTCTTCTGGCCCTCCTGAGGACCTCTTGGAGGCCTCTTGGGTCGTCTTGGGCCGTCTTGAAGGCTTCTTGGGCGACCTTGGGGGTATCTTGGACTCTTCTTGGACTCTCTTGGGCCGTCTTGGAGGCCGTCTTGGACCATCTTGGACGGACTTGGAGGCCACCTTGGAGGCCATTTTGGGCCAACGTGGCCATCTTGGAGGCCATCTTGAACCATCTTTGGATGATTTTTTCCGGAGTGAGCTCCTCAGATCCTTTCCAGGTGGCCGGCGGGACGGGCCGAAACCCCAGGGGGAGTTTTTTTGTTGGAAAAAAAAACAAAACCAAAGGCGATATCGTTCGGCATGCCAGGCACCCGGGGCGGCGGATCGAGTGGTTTTTGGCCCATCCCGCCACCGTGCCCAGCCCGGGTCGTAGACAAGAAGAGTGTGAGCGGTTTCTGATATTTTGGAAGGCTTTCGGGGCGTCTTAGAGTCCTTTCTCTGGGGCCGATCGGGTGCCTCCCGGGGGTTCCTAGGGAGTTTGTAGTATGTTGGAGCCCTCTTAGGACGTCTTGGAACTCTCTTGGGCCGTCTTGAGGCCCTCCCCCTTGGGGGCGCTGGACGTCTTGGAGCGATCCTGGGGGCATCTTGGGGCCTTCTTGGGGCGTCGAGCCCCAACCGGCGAGAACACTGAAATAGTGAAAACATTGAAGGGCATCCATGGATGTTAATTCGTGGGGCCCCTTTGGAACAGTCTTCGAGCTCTCGAGGAGCGACTCGGGGGGCCTCTGGGGCCTTCGTCGGGCCGTATTTGGCCGTCTTAGAGAGCCCTTGGACCGTCTCGGAGCCTTCTTAGAAAGACCATCGAGTTTCCAACATGATCGGCCCACGAACCCGGAAAGGGATATGGTTAACGTGAGGCATGGCAACGCTTTCAAGACACTCGATCGGGCGACGGGCAATTGCAATGTTCAATGTATCGATTTTGTCATACAGTGCCCAGGGCTGTGCTGTGCTGTGCCGTGTTGAGTTGCGATGTGCCATGCCGCGACTGTGCTCTATAGCGTTGTGGATGGAGTCCTCTTTGGCATTCGAATCGTGACAGAATTGATCTGGATCTTAAGCTCGAGCTGCCTGAGCACAAAGTAGCCGCCCCAGAGCTAGACGTTCAATCAACTCGACCTCAAAATCCGACCCAGCTCCGAAAAGGAACGACACGACACGGGGCACAGGCTCACGGACGCGCCACAGGATGTGCCAGGAGCGCAATAGGGGATGCGCCAGGGGACATGTCAGGGGACGCATCAGAGGACGTGCCCTGGACGTGTCAGGGACTTGCCACGGGACATGGCAAAGCGCGTGCCATGGGGCGGCCAGGGGACGTCATGCCAAGGGACGTTGCACGGGGCCCGCCACGAAACGGGCAGGGGAAACGCCTGGGGACGAGCAAGGAAACGCGACGGAGGACGAGCCAGGGAACGTGCCACGCCGAGTGGCGTGCAAAGGGACGTGCCAGGGCGCGTCACGCCTGAACGTCGCAGGGGACGCGCAAGGGGGCACGCCAGGGCCTTAGGGGTTGGATTGCAACACACTTTATTGCGACAAGCGTTTCGCTCGAGACATCCTCAACTCATCCTTATGTTAGACATCCGAGCGTCTCGCTCGAGGCGTTCTCAACACCTCCTCATGCTAGACATCTTCCTGGGCGACCTGGACACGTGAAGCCAAGCGTTTCGCTCAACACA